TTTTTTTCTTTACTATATGTCATTCTAGCTACAGCAAGTGCTCTTTGCTACAACAAAAGAATTCTGACCACAACGAGAATGTTGTTTGGTCATCCTTATCCATTTCTTGCTACAACGAGGATCCTTGCTTCAGCGAGAGAGCTGTAGAGAGCTTGATTTTGGACACTCTTTCTCGTTATAGTGAGAGATATCTTATTACAATGAAATATCCTATAACTTATACCATTAAACTCTCCTAAATTCAGGCAATTTGCATACATATAACCAACATACAATACCATAACAATAAATATAAAAACAAGGATGTTACATCTCTAATTCTATTAGCAATTAATTTAGTGACTATTTTATAGTTAACATTGTACAAAGAAATTAGCCTAAATTGGTTAATGATATTATGGGTTCTCAATTTTAGGAACTAACATAATTCTAGTATTATTAATAGTAGCTATATTAGCAGGATTTTTAAAAATGTCATTGACAAAATTCAGCAAAAAGAGGGCTAAAACATTCCATTAGGTTTTGAAGAATATAGCATGAAGTCCATCAAGACTAGGGTATTTAAAATTTCAAATGCTAAATAGAGAAACTTATATCTCATCAAGAGAAATAATGGCATCTAACCTAGCTCTATCAGAATCTCTTAAAAGAGGAAAGGAAGTTTTAGTATAAAAGTTAGGGAAACTAAGATAAAGGTTCAAAATAAATATCCTTAAAATAATTCAAAGCTAAACTTTTCATTTTATACACATCAAATTCCCATTGATCCAAATTATTTTTAAGGGCTTCAATAGTATTCTTTTTTCTGCAAAACACAACTGCTTTGTGAAAATGCTTCTTATTTTTGTCTCTTAATTTTAGCCAATTAGATTTATTGTGATGGTACCAATATGCTTCCTCATAATCCGAGATTTTTTGGTAGTCCAGCCAAAGGGAATTCATGAGTTTGTAAAGATAGGGATTATTTCCTTGAGCTAGTTTCCTATGAATACCGTCAATTTTACTAAAAAGATGTTTCTTTTTATTAAAGATGTTACCAAACTTATTTTATTCCATTGAGCAATATTAATTCTAAATCTATTAATGTTCTTAACCCAAGAGGAGGAAGGAATCCAAGAATTTTTAACTTGGGTACTAAAATTAGGGTGAGATATCCAAGGTGTCAAGAATTTAAAACTTCTATTTCACTTCACATTGTGACACCTATCCCTAATTTTTAGCCAAAGACCTACATGGCTAGACTTAATAAAAGGAATTTGGACCACTAAGCTATTGGAGAAAGACAAATGTCAGTCCTCATTAATAACTACCCTATCTATTCTCTCCTTTAACTTACCTCTATGTCATGTAAAAAGGTTTCCTTTGAACCCTAAGTCATACAGATTACATTAGTTTAAACAATCACCAAATTTATTTATCTAGTAAAAGTTTATGTTACCACCACTAATTTTTTTCTTGATTATATAGAATAGTATTAAAATCCCTAACAAGATATTAGGGGAGGTTACCTAAATTAATAAGGTCAACTAGCTCATTTTAGCACTCAGTTTTCAGTCTATCTATAAAGCTGACATTAACAGAAGAAAAGATCCATTCCTTACTATCAAAATTTTTAATTTTTAGGTGAATAGAAAATCTAGATGTAGCAAAAATAGAAGCCTTAACTTTATTCGAATTCTAGAGGCACCAAATGCCTCACGAGAAACTAACAACATCTACTTTCTTCTTCTCATCTAATTTAATTTTCTTAATGATTTCATTAGCTTTATATTTACTAACCTAGGTTTAAATATAGCAATAAAATTCAAATTATAAAGGCTAATTAAATCATTAAATAGCCTAACAAAAGTTCTACTTCTAGCTCCCCTACAATTCTAGAAAAAATAATTTATAAGATCATATATAGTGGGTTAAGAAGCATCCTCATGATGCTTGAATTAGCAATGCTGGAATCCAGTTCAGTATATTTTAAAGTCATATCCTTTACTACATCTATATCCATATTAATATCAAGATCAAGGGCTTAGGATCTAAATCACTTTTCAAATAATTGTAAGATTCCTAATAATTACCTTATTAATTTCGAGAAGATCTTGAACAGATCTTTTAGTAGAGAAATTTTTATTAATGTTTTTTTAGCATATTCTTCGTTAGAAATAATATTTCCTTATCATTATTTTTAGACTTCCTAAGATTTTTATTAGTTTTTTCTATCCTAATATTATGTTTAGGGTGGTTAAGATTTTTAGAAGTATTAGGAGCCTTTAGACCATCTTTACCTGTGAATTTGGACCTATTGGAATTATTTGCTTTTCTTTTCTTTTTATTTTTCAAATTATGGATTCCTTTTGTGAGATTAGAGTAAAAAGTTGTAACATATTTCTTTATTAGTTCAAAATTTTCCAAAACATCAAAACAAGATTCAGAATGAGGAACCTTTCCTTTCCTATTAGGGGGCAGGAGAATTAATATTCCTAATAGGTCTAGATTTTTTCCTAAAGAGTTTCTTGGCTAACATTCAAAGAACAAATTTAATATGAGTTTCCCCACTTTCTTCCTCTTAATTAGGTATATTACTCATTTCTAGACTTACCTTTCCAAAATCCTTTAATTCATCCTTATCAGTTATGGTTACAAAATTACTTAAGCCAGATATTTTATTATCTTGATTGATTTTAGGATTTTTACTACAAGACTCCATTTTGTGTTCATATTTACCACAATTAAAATAAATGAGGTGCATATCCTTATACTCAACCCTAAATTCCTGACCTAAAACTTTGAAAGAAGGAACAAGTTTTTGATTTAGATCTAATTCCACACATATTCTTGCAAATTTTTCTCTAGATACTATGGATGTGTGAGGATCTATTTTAAGCATGAATCTCAAACAGACCCCTACTTGCCACATAATTTTTTCATTATAGAGTTCTAGGGGTAAATTAGGAATTTCTAGGCAATCATTCTTTTTAAGGTGTAATCTTTGGTTCTAAATGGAGGTCTCCACCTCTAAACCAGAAGGTAATGATCCAAAATTAATTAGGGACCCTCAAAAAGAGCAAATTTATAGTATTCTAGGTTTTCAAATTTTACTAAGTAGTAATCATTATTCAAGTCCAAAATTTTAAGGTTACCATTTTCTTCCCGCATAGTCCCTAATTTCTTATTTAAAAAATTAATGTATACATTTACTTAAAAGTTTCACTATTAAGGTAAACTTCCAAGACGAGCACCATTGCTCATAATCCTTAAGAGGAATTTTAATCTCAAGACACAAGTCATGAATATTGTTGATATTAGAAATGTTTTCTCCACCCTCTGAGGGGATATTAACTTCTTCCATCACAGATCTAACTATTTTTTCATCACCCAGAATCATATCTTTATCTTTCGATGTGAGTATTTTATCTCTATAAGACATGCAAATTGGTGAGCTAAGGTTAGAAAGAACCCGATTCATAAGGGAAACAAGATGAACATCTTCATGCATGTTGGAAATCAGAGCTTCCTAAGGAATCATGATCTCCATTTTCATCTTCTTCTTGCTACGAGCCATAAGATCAACCTCTTTCATTGAACGTTTTTTAGCTTCCACCTGCGTCATAAAGGTTTTCTTCTTGAATCAAGGGGTAAGGGCGATAATCCTCAAGAGAGCCAAAGGTCGTCACTAGAAAAGACCCAAGGTCATGACGACAGTATGGAAAGAATGAGATTTAGGGTAAGCAAAAGCTAGCAAAAGCAGGAAGAAACGAAAAAAAACTCATGATACGAGACTTTATATTCTTTGTATTTAATCATATTCTAATAATTCCTTTTAAGTGAGAAGTAATGTTTATATAATATATTAGTTAAGTTTAATATATAAATTTAAAAATATTTTAATTATTTTATTTAATTCATTCAAGAAAATAGGTTTAACACTATCCTTCAACTAAAATTTGAGAAAATGAACTATTAATAAATAAATTTAAGAGTTTTAAAATATGAAATTTTTAAGATTATCTTTATCTATTTTTAACTTTTTCAACAGAATGATCATGTCCAGCTCAATTTTAAAAAGAGAGAAATTTTTAAATATTTGTATTAAAAAAGTAAGCGTTTTTACATATATATATATATATATATATATATATATATTATAAATATATAACTACTAATTAAAGTGTATATAGAAGATGATGGATACCTAAATTTCTATAGTTGAAAGAAGACATACGGTTTCCTAATTTTTAATTATAGTTCTACATTTATGCTGAAAAGTGTGCCTTCGTTTCACTTATTTTGGAAAATTCAGATTCTTATAATTTAGTCTTCCCTTGTCAACTCACTCAAAAAGAAAGAGAGAGGATGAAGGGAAAGACGAACGGAAATGCAAAATCTCATCATCGTTATCCAATATTGACCGTTCAAAAACTGTATGAGCTAAAGGTATTTTTGGACCACATTCACATATTAATTCTCCTAAATTGCGATGATTCAACGAAACAACGCTGGATTCCTTAACCACTAATTCCACCCTTTTTCTTTCTTTCTTCCCACCACTTATTTTAAAATGTTTTAAAATATTTTTATTAATAATTATATTTTTATGCTTTTTTTTTTTTGTTTCTTTTCTTGGTTTCATCACGTTATCTATCATATTTTTATTTATTTATTTTTTCTCTTTTCGTATTTCTCTTTTGCACTCATTTTACACTCCAAAATAAGACATAAAATAATATTTTTTGACATGCGCATAATATAAATATATTTTCACTCTTATCACCGTTCTTTTTTTGGGGGCATTCTCTTTTTCTATGATGGGCATGACATCCTAGTAGTAAAACATAGCAGAAGTTGACCAGCTCCCATAGATATGAAAGGAATTAGTACAAACAAGAATTTTTAAAAGCAGTCCACATTCAACTAGGAATGGTATCTCCTTCAAAGCAATGGTAGACTTGTTAAGAAGGAAGTCCAAAATACCACAAAGGAAAGAACTCAAAAGAGAGAGGCATGGCCAAGACATTCAAAGCACCAAGTCATCTTTATTTTCTTTGAGTAGGTTCCAACACTTATTCCTTATTCTGTGTATTATCTTCTGAAGTCTCTTCATACAAACAACCACCCCACCATGGAACAACCTCCTAGATGCCAATTCACAGTGATTTTCTTCATCATCATTTCCCTCTCCCTTGGCTTAATTTCCTTTATCTTGTGTGTAGCCGCTGAGATGAAGAGGAATAAGGTAGTGCTTATCCAAATATGTTGTTTTCTAGAATTTTTAGTCTTGCAATCAAGAGTTTTTGCTTTAATCTGAAAAGGGTTATAATTATAACACTTGTCTCTTTGTAGGAGGAGGACATAAGATGGAATGGGAAACTATGTTATTTGCCATCAAGCAAGGCATTTGGATTGGGTATTGCAGCTTTGGTTAGTTTTTTTCTTGCCCAGATCATTGGGAATTTTATATTGTTAAAATATTCTTGCTCGAGAGGAAAGAGTAAATCCCAGTATAAGATGCCTCCTATTGCAAAGGTTCTGCTTTTGATATCTTGGTAGGTTAATTATCAATCTTTTGCATACCCGTTACTAGTTGTTACTAACATTTCAGCAATTTGAAATTGAGGAAGTAAAACATGAAACAGATAATTATTTTTTATTTGACTCAACTTGATCATCATTTTTGTGTCAAAATCGATACACTTGTTCCTTAATACAAAATTGATTTCTGCAATTAAGTTCTGGAAAATGGACACCATTGAATTTTCCTGTTTTATATTATTGACTTTTAATAGAGGGCCAGATCATCATGGAAAACTGTGTGCCCTGTGGCCTGCCATTATTGGGCACAGGATGGCAAAGTGTATCACTTTTTGGGTATAACGTTCAATAGTTTTTTGTCCTTTAGGGAAACCATTCTGTATATTAAAAAGTGAAATATGTTTACATTAATTTATAGCGTTAATTTTAAACACTTGAAAGAAAAAATAATTTATTAAAAATCTGTTAGGAGTATATCTTTTTGGCATGCAAAACTAATTCTTAAAAAGTTAAAATAAGTTTTAAACAGTAATTAATTTGAGATAAGTATTTGTAAATTTTGAAAAAGTTCACTAATTATAGAAATATGTCGAGGGTGAATTCAAAAGAGTGCCCTGTTAGTATTATTCATTAAAAAGTAAGTATTTACCATATAAAAACATAATAAACATTTATAAATATAAATAATTATTTTTAATGTTTAAAATCAAATCCAAAAATGAATGTTAATAAAATAAAAAATAATAAGAATAGTGAGATCATGCTTTTGCATTTGGTAGTGCACATTATAAGGAGCAAAATGGTTGTCATTGGCAGGGTTAGCTTTGGAATTGCGACCATTTTATTGGTTGTAGCGACAAGCATGAACAGAAGGCAGGCATATAGGGTAGGATGGTTGAATGGGGAGTGCTACATAGTCAAAGGAGGAACTTACGCTGGCTCAGCCATTTTGGTACTCGTTGCAGTGGGTTCTGGAAATGGTTCAGCTTTCTCTACAATAAAATCCACCCAACCAAATAAGGATAAGAAAATACACAAACAAATCGGGGTGATATTATAGTTTTGGGAACCATATAATAATATATTGAGAAAAACATGCACATTTTTTGTGTGATGAGAAGAAAAAATGAAAAGAAAAGGTTTTAGGAAGAGGAAGAATTTATCAACAACACTAGGCACCACGCGAGCAAGTTGCAGAGGTCAACAATGTCAGAGCAAAGAGAGGGTTCCAAAGGAATACAATTCTTTTATTAATTAATTACGTAAAAGAAGGTGCCAAAAAAAGGCCACTAAGCACCTTATCCAATGCCCAAAGGAATAACTTTTGTTTTCAACTTACACGAAAAAGAGACACTTCATTTGTACATATTCTATCCGAGGTGGTGACTGCCTCATATAGATCCCAACTTGCATAGATTAATAATTGTTTGGTATATTATTTTGTATTAATATTTTCCAACTCATTATTTCTCAGTTGCTTCTACAATTAAACAATTCTTCGAGTGCCAAGCAACACAAGGAATCATAATTTCACCCACAAAAATAGACATGATTCAAGGAGCAACCTCATAAACGTGTTTCTTTGCTAAAAGCTGCCTGGGCCCAAGTTAGCATTTTAAAAACACCATTCAATTCGCAATAATGACATCATGCTTTGTATGATTACGTTTTCTTTTTCTTTTTCTAAAATGTAAAACCATTGGTTGTATGTTTGAAGAACAATCCCATGTTTGCTGAGCTGAATCCTACACGCGGTGTAGAAACGCCCTGCGGCACAACAAATGCGTTTTCATTTTGTTGGAACGGGGAACGAAATAGGATTGAAAAATAATAGAAATAGAAAAATATAAAATGCAAAAATAAAAATTAAACTAAACATATGTGTGACAAAATATTGTCTTTACTTATTTAGAAGAGTAAGAAAGGTAATAAAAAAATTATATTAATTAAAAATTTTAATGTTATTTTTCTTTTATAGAATGTTATTTTTGATATTTTAACAAAAAATAAAACAAAAGAATTAAAAAGTTACCACCTGCCCCACCTAAAAGAAATCTTCCCATTTCTTCAAAATAAACACTAAAATTTTTAGTATTTGTATCTCACATGTTTTATCTCTTTCCTTTTCTTTATTTATTTGATATATTTTTATTTTATAATAAAAAATTTCTCTTCACTCTTAAATGAACAATAAAAAATTGATATTTTTATCTTATTTCTTCTTTTGCTTTTTCCTTTTCTTTTCTTTTATTTATTTTTTTTAAAAATTTAATCTCTACATTTTTATGAGATTAATAAATTTAGTTTCTTAAAAGTAATTTTTTATTCTAAAACTTAATTTTTTTTAAAAAATAGTAATTTTGTATAAGCGTATAATTTTATATTAAATATTTATTTATATTTTTTAAAAATATATTATATAGTAAATAAAAATGTTTGATAAAGAATATTTTTTAAATAAATAATTTTTTCCGAATATAATTTATTTAATTTAAATTTTTAATTTTGTTATTGAATTAATAATTTTATTATTTTTCAAATTTTATTAAGTGAAATAACCTTGATAAAACATAATCTTATTTCTTCTTATATCTGCATGTGTATATTAGAGAAATCATCGATTGTTCTTGCGAACGTCTTTTAAAAAAATTACACTCCGGAGTATTTTTCTTATACCTCTTTAAGCTTTTCGATCTAACTTGGATATATAAATAAATTAATAATTATTATATTAATAAAAAATATGTTTGTTAATGTATGTTTCAAGATTTTGATAATATATATATATATATATATATATATATATATATGTATGTATATAAAAGACTAAACACTTAGTTTACTCCTAAAAAATAAAAAGTGTTTAATATTTTAATATCTAAAATTTTAAAAAGTTAAATTATTTTTTAACTTTTATCTTCATTTATCATTTTAATTTTTCAGCCATACACAATCAATATACTAATCGAATACATAATAAAAATAACGTTGTATATAATACAATATTTTTTTTTAAGTATTTTAATTTTTGATATTGTTGTACGTCAAATATTTGTTAAAATGAGGAACAAAATAGGGCTGAAAAAAAATAAAAATAAAATAAAAAATGTATAAATCGACATAATAAAAGATAAATAAGTAAAAGTTACCACCTACCCCATTTTTATGCTTGTTGAGGGGATAGTTTTTTTAGCTTAAAAAAAAAATTCTTTCTAATTTTCTTCTCAGTAAAAATTGATGTGTATCTCACCTCTTTTATATTTCTCTATTTTTATTTTATAATAATAATTTTCTTTATTTTTGAAGAAAAATAAAAATCGTCAATCACATGAATTAACTGGTAAATGATTGTTTCAATTGAAATTATATATTCAAGTTTAAACGCAGCTGTGTTAAACATTCCGAGAGAGAATTTTGCCGTCGATGATAATTCTACCTGACTTAAAAAGAATTGTCTCTAACAAGAATACTTGTGATCTAGACCAAAACAAAAATAAATAATGAAAATTTGATATTTTGATCTTGTTTCTTCTTTACCTTTCTTTTTTTTTTCTTTTATTTCAGCTTTAAAAAAAATTGTATTCTCTACATTTTTACAAGATTAAATAAATTTAGTGTCTCAAAAGTATTTTTTTTAATTCTCAAAAGTATTTTATTACATTTTACATTATTTTTTTTCTTAGGCCTAAGTTTCTCTAAACTCTATTTTTAAAAAACCAAAAATAGTAATTTTGGTCTCTATTAACACCTTCCACATTCCTCTTCATCTTCATCTTCATCTTTCCTTCCACCCGCATATATACCTGAAGAAAATATTATATATTTTGTTAAATATTTTTTTCTAATAAATAGATAAATTTAAATCGTTAATTTATGTGATTATATATGTTACATTTTAAATAATGTATAAGTATATAACTTTATAATAAATATTCATTTATATTTTTGAAATGTTATTATATTGTTAATTATTGTTAAATTAATTTATATTTAAATTATATTGATATAAGTGAATATAGTCTATTTGTGTTTGCTAAATATAATTGTATGATACCAATTAAATAAATTAAAAATAATGTATTTGATTTTTAAGATTTTCTTTTTTACAAATCCAATATAAATGATATTGCTATCATTGTATATTAGAAAGGAAGAAAAAAATAGTAAAAATAAAAAGAGAGATAAATTTTTAGAATTTAAAAAGAAAAATTCATGAAAAGTTAAATCTTAATCGTAATCACATTATGTCTATATTTGTTATTTAATCAATTTACACTTAAAATTATTAATAATTTTTTAATGCAAGAATATTTAAATATAATAAATTATATAATTAATCAATCTTATGTTTATTTAATTTATTTATATATGCTAATTTATTTATTGATCATTACTTTTTTTATGTACAACATTTTATTAAATTTTATAAATTATAAGAAAAAATAGAATTTTATTTCAATGTAAATACACATGTAAAATTAACATTAATTTCTTCAAAATTATTATTTTAATTTGTAATATAAAAATATATAATTTTTTATTTTAATCATTTTACAACTAAAATTATTAAAAAAATCTCAATACAAACAAATTTAAGAAAATATAAATTATTTTAAAATTTTTTAATGCACAAATAAATATTAATAAAATTTTCAAATAACATGATACCTTAAACCAAAATTATAAAATAAATATTAATATTTTTAAATTAAATAATTAATGAAATATAAAAAAAAACTTAGGTGGTGGTTTGTGGCGAAGAGGCAGCGACACGCGCTCAGTGGACACACTGAGTGGCGTCGGCGATTAAACAGGGAGGGGAACGACAAGCAATGGAAATGAAGAAGACACAAATGGGGCTACGCTCAAGGGAAGAAGAAAATGGAAATGAAAAATTTTATAAAATAATGATTACACATAAATATATAAATTGTAAAATATATATTTATTATTAGAAAAAAAATACATACTTATTATCCTACCTTAATTATATATTTTTTTCTAATTTCAATGAGGAAAATGGCTTTTCCTAACCTCCGTGTGCCACAAATGTTCACTCATTTTTGGGCTCAAAAGTGTAATTTTCTTTTCTTAAATTAAGAAATGGTTCTTTGAATCTCATGTTGGCCCAAGGTCCAAAGTAAACAATTTGGACTTTTATACTCTTCTATACTCCAAGTGCAATTTTTTATGTATTTCCTTTTATTTATAAGATTTTTCTAAGCCAAGCAAATGTTTCCAAATATAAATCAAGGGTATCTTATACTTAGAAGAATGTTTGAGAATTTTTTGTATAGATTTAGGCTCAACATTTAATTTTTCGTGAAATGGGATCCACTTTTTTCTAACAAATTTCTATTTGGGCTCTATTAATTGTTTAAGACTTTTCTTGAGATTTTGAAATATTATTCTGGTGATTACTTGTAAATTCAACTTTATGGTAGTTAGCAAGAAATGGAGTATTATGGCTCACGTGTCACTCAAAATTAGCAAGTACAAGTATGTTTTAACAATATATTTTTACATTTCATTTCATCTCAAGTTGAAAGTGAATGATAGCCTAAATACAGAATGATGCATGTTAGAAAATAAAAAAGGTCTCATATTAATTAAAAATACTAAAAATAAAGGAAACATAAACAAAAGATATACGAAAGTTAAATCATCTTAGATATTTTGAATAAAATTGCTACTTCAATATTAATCCCACGTTAGGAAATCTTATTCCCCTTTTCATACGGTATAAACTTGAATTGAGCCTGTTAATAAAATACAATAAATGAAAATTACATAACAGTTTTAATAAAACTCTCTTCACTTTTAATGTTACTTATTTTTCAACAAACTTGCAGTGGGTCACTTTAGAATACTAATTACTAGCTTTGTTTGATCTCCAATTGCAGCACCTTCCCATGAAGAAAAGAAATACAATTTCAGTGTTTGATAACCAACGGAAAAGACCGATATCTAATTTGAAATGCACATTAACCAGAAAACAGCTACATTGTGTTATTTTGCTGCCATTCCATTTATTTAAGATGGGATGTTTTATTTTGACTT